CCAATTCTTTTTAAAACCTCGTCCCATTCCGATCTCGCCAAAAAATTGATAAGCTTATTCTCCACATGGCGGTAGGGTTCTATATTGATTTCCATTCCTACCAGCACTCACTATTCTGTCTGTGTTTACAGCTAAGGGACGAAACAAAAATGACTCGCTGTGATGTTCATCTAACTCATATCGTAATTTTCATTCTCGGTGATCGTATATTGCCATTGAGTGATAAGAAAGGTACAGCTGGAGAAAAGATAAATTACCGCATAAAGTTGTTTTTGAATGTTTTCATTGAAGCCAACATTATGAACGAGCCATCCAATAGATTTGTTGCTATAACAGCCTGAAACAAAGCGGAACAATGAACGTCAGGATCACCAGCAGGTTGAACATGACCAACGATTTGATGCAAATTCAAAACTTACATGTAATAATGCGCCACTCCAAGCTCTTACAGTCATCAGCTTGCTTAAATTCGGTTTCAGGCCCTCGCTGAGCGCAATTAACGCATCGCGTCCACCAAGCTTTACGACCGCAAAAATCATGCAAAACAGCAGACACACAAGTGGAAATATCACAATAAGTCTTGCCACCTAAAAATTCGAGTATTTCAGCAACGTGCCGTAAAAGAGTCTGAAAAAAAAAGAATACCAATCAAAATTTCAGCAAGCTAAAGTTTTTAATTAGTAGACGGATTTGAAGGAAGAAAAATTTTTAGTCGAAAAAATACAGAGCTTTAAAGGTAACTGGCTATAGTAGAGGAACGGCAAAAGCCTAATTTCAAAAAAAAAATTGCAAGATTTTGCAATTGATCTATCATTGCAAATGGAGTCCTTTTTTCAGATTTGAAACAAAAAGGAGTCGAAACTCTCGTCTTCACTATCGCGCCTTTCGAATTGTAACGTGTTGTACAGTACATGTTATACACAATACACGTTCAACACCACAAAAGTTGAAGGGTCGGAATTTGTATGTATGGCACTTATGTGCACACCTTTTATAACTCCACAGTGAGCGTACCTGCCCATAAGCAGCACAGAGTTTTCCAGTTTCTGTCGGCTTTTAAAAAATCTGCTTGGCTAAGTACCTGATAGCTGCGCTCACGGTGGAGCCAAAAAAGGAACGGTGAACTCTAAAACTGCTCTTGGGCAAATGGGATACAATATCTGATGGGAGGGCGCACAGTTGTTTTAATGTTGATTTCTCCTGTTGTATGTACTGTATTCGACATTAGCAAAAAAAGAACTCGAACCTTTGCATAAGCCCGCATGCCAAGTATTCCAATGAAAGCGATAATTGCTTGCTGGACAACTGCTGAAGCGAAAAGAAAGGGGCTTGGCCGATCAAGTGCTCTGATTTTTTCGAACCTAAAATACATTAAAAGTAAGTTGAGGTCTTGGTTTTCTCTGTTGAACAGAGCTACTCTACGGAATTATGTAGATTAGAGAGGCTCAAAATAGAAAAAAATGAAGAAATTGCCCGCTGCATCAGTGGCAAGAAGAAATGCGACAATGAAAAAAAAACCGGCTGCTCAAAAAAAAACTTGGCATTTATTCCTTGGTTTAACAGTGCATGCCATATCAAGTCAAGTGGTTCTGTCTGGAAAACCTCCAGGAGGAGTGGACATCAGACTAACCACTGGTAGAAGCATTAATGAGAGAAACTGGAAAAGCAGCTAGCTGCATGAAATCATACTGCTACTCAAATTAATTAGTTATCATATATCGATACAAAATAATTTGGTATTTTGATTGGTAATTTTTTCAACAACGCTTTTCTCAAGCATCGATGTTTTTCTAAAATCCGACTTTTTTAACAAAATATTAGTGGTCAAACGAAAAAAAACAACAAGCACATTAAATCCACTGGCCCAGGAAAATGCTAAATTTCTCACATAAATGTTTTCTAAAAACTCTTCCTTTCATTTGGAAAAAAAAAGATTATCTTTATTTTAACATGCAAAAAGAACTTAATGTTTGAAAACTGTGAAGAAAATCGGCAACACATACAGATATATTTGAGTTGGAAGTTCGCGAAGTGCTTCAGAGGTGCTTGTCATACCAACGACCACTTGAGCCCATGTGAAATTTGGATTGCCCGGTATTCGCTCTGTTGAAATTTCGTAGCATTTCGAGTAGTACTGATAAAAACCATTTGCTTCATCGCATATAATATACGGATCGAAGCACGACGCTGCAGTAAAATTGTACGGTGATAAATAAGTCTGATTTCATGACTGCAGTAAAAGCTAAATTAATCTTTATTAGGATGTTTACACGAAGTAAATGCCCATAAAAATGACCACATATATGATAATCTATGCCTATCCTGGCAATGCCATCAGTTTCAGGACTCTTTTTAATTATTCTTCTTTCGTCACATTTTTAATTCACATATTGACCTTTCGACCCCTCAAAATAGTATCATCCGGACTGTCAGCTCGGCTGGTTGCTCCTCACTGCTTTTGGGCTACCATCAAAAACTGACCGATTTTCACATTTGTAGCTTTAAACTACCTGCGCTATTTTCAAGTTTTAATGTGTAAATTCAGCATCAGCTCGATGAATGTGCGCTAAATCATCCAATAGCGATCTTTCGAGCGGTCCTAAAGGGTTAGAGGTCCTGATCACACTGACGCCCCGAACTTTTCCAGTACTAAATGTATTCTCAAAACCACGTGTTTCTTCGCTTTAGAAGCTTAAACAACCGGTCGGAAGTCGAATGTTAATGATATTGCTAGGATGCATCCATATGCCGGGTGCATGTGCAGTTAGGCAGACAAAAGGCATACACAGACAAACAAAAAAACGTGCAAACAAACACGCACAAACACAGATATCCCGAGTTCCCTGTTAATTTGCTTTTGCTTCCCACTGGAGCACAAAAACGCATAAAAATGGGCACTAGGATGGCCTCGAATGCGCTAAAAAGCATCTGAAAGTTTCAGGTAGATACGGTTAGCACGAAAATGAAAATCAGCAGCGTTAAGGGTGTGAACTGAGAGTTTGATTGATTTTATAATAGCCACAAAGAGAGCTTACGATGATCATCGTGAACACATTCAAGCCACTGTTTCCTGGATGAAGGGAAGAGTGCTGCTGAAAGACTTTTGAGGGAGAAAAACAGGTCCAGTGATGTATAGGATAGCAACAAGCTTTTGAATACGGATATGAACGTCAATGCAAAACCGATTCCTAAAACGTTTGCGGTTTGTATTCAAAGTAAACTGTTTTGCCCTAACTGTTCACATTTGCAAAAATAACTAGGAATCCCGCAGTAATTAATCAGCATTTTACCGCATGTTTTGAATAGCTGGCTCTTTCCCTCATTGAAAAAAGGAACCTTTCAGTTATTCTCACTCATTGAAATTAGGATATTTAGAATATATTATGATCAAGTAGAACTTAAAATCTCTGTTAGGTACTTCCGCTTCCGAAGTGATCTCAGTTTACAGTAATTTTTCAATACCTTTTCTGCTTTGCTAGATACAGAAATTATTTGGGACTTTTTTTTGGCAAAATATGGAAAATGATTAATTTGATGCATCTGCTAAACGCTTAACAGCCTGAATGCAATTTTGGAAGGATACTTAAGATACTATAGCAAATTGGCCCGGAAGATGCTCGAATTAACAAACGTTGTGGCTTGTAAACTTTCGAATTTTATATCAAATTCAAAGAACAGAACTCCTTCCGCGTTAAGATTTGAAATCAACATTCAAAACCAATGATCATTCTGAATTCAGTTGCACATTTTTTTCCAAAATTTTCGCATTTTTTTATTTCTTCACAGTATTTCTTTTTTTTAAAGATTCATTTACACCTCACCAACTATACAAATCTGCATTTTTTTGGAGAAAGAGGATGAGAGAAAGCACAGTTACGCATTTTTTATTAAGAGCCGTTACAAATTCTATTATTAAATGGTGAGTAAATCACTGTTTTTGTAATGCTCATTCCCTGGGCAATATTTGTCCCTGGGCAATTATTTTTGTGTAAATTGATTAGCAAAAAAGTACCAGCAAAAGCCGGACAAAGACAGTGAAATATTTGCAGTGGTGGCAACGAACTGAATTGGCCAAGTGCATTCTCCAAGTAGATGATCGGTGTGGTAACGAGGCCGAGGCACACAGCATATGGAATCAAGAATAGCACTGCAATTTTTAACTTCTTTACTTATTTCATGCAGTTCGATTACCCAACTCCGGGAACTCGGCATGCTAGGACCCCGGGAACTTTAGGTAATAGGCCCTCGTCCTCGCCTTAAGAAAATGTCAA